GCTTCTTGGATGCTTTTAATTCTTGGTTTATGTAGATTGTCTATCTGAATTTATATTGTTGGGAAGATATAGCACAGAAAAGGTTGTAATAGTGTTTTTCGTCATTTTATAATGGTTTTGAGTACAAACATCTAGGAAACATTTTGCCTTGTCGTTCTTCTTGGGGTCATTTGCTATGGCCCTTCACTGACTTTGTCATAGTGTGTTGTACTCAGGAGACTCTCTGGGTTTTCTAGTGAAAACAAATTATTAGATTTATGTACTAGAAGCACAACTTTGTGTCGTTTAAGGTTAAAAGGCCATCACCTACATTCTGGAATCTGAGTATTTATTGCTTGTTTAAAAAGGCATGTCATAAATCTTTTCATTTGGGAATCATTTAATGCTGTGATGTTAGTGTAACTCACCTGTTGTTTTCAGGTTGGTTTTCTTATGGTTTTGTTTTTTTAAGTGAACAACATCTGAGGCATACTGTGATTTGCACATGGGTGATGCTTTGCTGTTCCTGCCTCAGCATTTTTTAAATTGTGTTCTGTCACATATATGTGATTAAGAACAAATAAATATCTAATGCCTGAAGGTTTAAATACTTGCCTGTAACTTAGACTTTCTCAATGATGATAAATTGAGTTTTTCTTCCCTCCCTTCTTGACAGCTTTGATTCCCTTTGCTAGATGACCATGGTGCTTGCATTGATCTTGAGTCTGCCTTCCTCCAAGAGAATCTTTTAAGTTCAGTGCCTGTCAAAGTATCATCAAAGTATCACTGAAAACTTCAATTAAACTGAATTTTCAGTCACTGGAACCATCTTGCTATTTTGTTATAGAAGGCAGAAACTCTGTTTTAAAACACTTCAACGTCTAATTTTTCCCACTGGTGAAAGTTGTAATGTGGCAGCATGCTATTACTCATCTTCCAAAGTTCCATGCCTTCAAGATGTTTGTGGTTTCCCTTTAGGATTTGAAATTACCAGCCAATGTAGTATCCTTCAATCCTGAACTTTGGTTATTCATGTATTTCATATTTTGGTGGTACTTCCAGAGTGTAGCAAAATGTAGAAAGTAGAACTTTGTTTTACAGAACACGTATGGTAGCTATTGGCATTTTACTTTGGGTTTCTCCTCTGTTTGCCATTGAAAGTTGAATGAGGAAGCCTATGTAAGAGCTCTCATTTCAAGCCGGCTTTAAACTGAAGGCTTACAAAACTAAAAAAAAACCCAAAACAAATAGACTTGTGCTTTCCCTTATGCTGGGCGATATTTCATTGCTTTGTTATTTGTTTTAAAGTGGATTTTCTTAGGACAAAGATGGAAGATGTCCTCTCTTTAGCAAGTTTTTAATGCTCAGAATTGTCTGGATTTTTTTATTTTTAACCAGACCTTTGTGAGAGGATAGTTTATTTGAGAAACTGGTGTAAAGACAAAGATGCTCTTTATGAAAGGCATTTTTCAAGAGGACTTTGTAGTAGGTGCTCTTTGCAGAGGTTTTCTAACTCCTTGTGCTTTTATGACAAGAATTATGACAGAATAATAGAATAGTATGGGCAAGATATCCACATTAAATTGTTGGGGAGATACTGTGAGGAAATTAAGTTTAAAAAAAAAGAGGGTGGAGAGAAACAAAGAGGGAGAGAGAGAGCTCTGCTAATGTAGGAGATTGTCCGTTGTAAAAAACAGTCTTGTTGAAACCTCTTCTGTGAGCCTGGCTCCCAAGAGGAAAGGTCTTGTATAGAAAACTGTCTTTCTGCAATCTCTCCTTGTCTGCATGAGAATCAGTCTTTCAGGAAGAGGGCTGTTTTTAAAAAAATACTATTTTATGTGTAACACACATTTTGTAAAGAATACATTTTATCTTTAGGGAAACGTACAGAACTGTAACAAAAGCTCAGAATTAGGTGGTTGTCGTGTTTTGTGAAATTAAAATGTAATTTTTTCTTAGGTTTGCCTTAAATATTTTTTAAAGAAATTTAGGAACTTGCCACAGTAGTATAGTGGCTAGGCTTCCCAGTAAGCACCTCAGTCATGTTAACTGTTGACATCTGTGCTAAGAAGGAGAGGAAATATTATAAATTAATTGAAGGCTCCCAAGCATTTGCTTGATATTTACAATAATGACATATTACAAAGAGTTCTCTTTGAAATAAGTGAAAGCAATTGCTGTATAAAAATAATAACAGTAGAGCATCTCAGTGCTGTACTGCTTTGAAATGTCTTGAGATTTACTGTGGTATTCACATTCCAGTGAGGTATTTTAAAGCAATTCTGCAATAAGTATGGAAATACTTTAGAAGAAATTCTAGATCTCAGGAGGCTCAGCATTTTTATTACATTTATTTAGCTCATCATGAAGGGGGATCTAGTGCCGATTTCTGAAATCCAGAAAAAGATGTTGTAATATTACTTTTGAGGTTTGGTATTGAAACAAGCCAACTACCTGTGTGCTGGGTATTTTGAAAGCAGCAATAGCTGCATTTCAAGGGAATTATAACATTTAGGAGGGGGTCAACCAAACAATACCACACAAATAACACCACAGTAGCTACTATTTTACTTGTTTTTCTCTCCATCTAATATTCCCAAAGATGGCGTTTTTACTTCAGCGTTACTGATTAATATTCCACATAAATATTTACAGAAAAATTGCTCCAAAATAAAAGAGGTGTTTTATATTGACTAACTGGTATCTAGACACATGCTGTTTCCTGCAGAAGGTGGTTGTGTGCATGGGGGGACATAACACCACTGTTCTTTACAGCTGTTGTGTATCCTTGAGCTCTGTTGAGGATCTATGAGAAAAGCTGCAGAGACTACATGGATAAGATTATAAGGAATAGCTGCAGTTCGTTCTCCTCCCACTTGGTAAAATTAGGGACCTGATTCTTCTCTAGCATCATATTTCTATCGTGCTGCCCACTGTTTTGTTGGGTAGTGGTGTGGTGGTGTAGTTTTGAATGCAGCACAGATGAGAGGAAAGCTGGAAAAGCCTTATGACTCTAGGATTAGGGATGTTGGCAGAAGATGAGGTCTGTAATTTTCACCTGTGGCAAGTAAGTGGATCAGTAATGTGCAGATGATGTATCTGGACAAAAAGGCTTGGAGTAGGGAATGCGAGGTAAGCGGAATTACCAGGGTGTCTGGATTTGAAAGGAGGATGAAATAGTAACATCCCTTTCCCTCCCTGCTTATGGGTAAAACATCAGAGGGAAAATTGACAGGATAGGAGTAGAAGCAGTTTGTCTGCAAGATGAGGACCTGGCCTCAGTTTTGAAGTGAGGCAGGGAGTGTCTCTGTGTGAGAGAGGAGGAGGAGAAGCCAGTTCAGTAAAAGAAATAAGAGTAGGGCACTAGCACAGAGCACAGCTTCTCTTCCATAGCTGGAGATGACTATCAGCTGATTTCTTTGTAATCTGGTGATACAGTTCTTTTCTTCAGTGCTGTTCTACCCTTATAGCCTGCATCTGTGGATTCCTTGCTTCTCTAGCCTCATGTTGGGTTCATGTAAAACATTCCAGTATTTTATTGGAGACTATTATAAGACTATTAAGACTGCCCATTTAATACTGTATTATTTAATTCCTTTTTCATCAGTTGGTTGTTTGCAAAAAAACAGAGAAAGCAATGTTTTATTAGTTTTTAATGTGAAGAAATATTATGAGGTTTGCCGGGTAAAGATACAAAGCCAAACTAGATATGCATTGTGTGTGTTACCATGGGCCCTTATCAGCCTTCCTTCATACACTGGGCATGGCTCATACTGCAGCTTACTATGTTCTTGCTTGTTCAGCATGAATTTACATCTCTTACTAATTGCATACCATTCAGTCTGGAAAGCTCTCTGGAGATATTAGTACTTCTTAGTACTTCTGTTGTGTTCAGGGTATCTAAATGCCTTTTCTATGTTAATGAATTTGTTTTCAAAAATAGCGTTTGAGATGAGTGATAGCATTCCTATTTTAAATATGTAAAACCAAGAAACAGACATTTAAAATCAGACATATTTATAGAATTGTGGTGTTTAGGACCTCCGTATTTCAGAGCATTTTGCAGTATTCCCTATATTCAGGGTGCATTTCATACTGACTTCAGGTGTGGCTGTGGGCTCTGAAGTTGGATCAGAATTCAGAGTTTTGTTATAGGTGGCATGCTATGCACCTGTGATATGGACAGACAGAGCGGAGATCCAATTCTGAGGGCAATATTTGATTACTTTTAGCATGAGATCCTGATTACTTTTAGCATGAGATCCTTCCTCCCCTTCGTGCCTTGTCTAGTTCCATCTTCATTTTCAGTGTGTGTTCCAACTTTGGAATGTGAAGAAAGAAACCAGTTGGCGGGAGCTTCTTTGATTCTCATGTTGGATTTAGATACTACCACTGAAGAATATGGGGAGGCTGTGTAGAAGCATGGAGTATGTTGGTACAATAAAAGTGTTTTGTATATGCAGAAGCAGCTGAAACAAGGATGTCTTAATTCTACTATGTCTTAACTGCAGGTACTTGGAAACTGCGGTTTTGCTGCCGTTTAGTGTTAGAGATGTTTCAGAGAGTTCTGGGTTTCATTGACTTGACCATTTGCAAATAAAAGTAGAAAATACATTTTGATTCAAAAAATAATAGGTAAGAGGAGCTTAATGAAGTTTGGCTTATATTCCACATATTTTTTACCAACCTGACCTTCCAAAATTGTTTACATTGTTGTGCATGTGTAACTGAGTTTTTGGAATGGTAATAGTGTTTAGTAAGTGTTGTAAGTCAGGTTGTACTCATCATACATGTATCGTCATATATATACACTCAGGTTCTTATAGCTGCAGAGCTACTCGAAGGAAACTGCTAATGAAAAATAGGAACTTGTGATCAGTTGCATAGTAAACTAAATGTAGACCACATTGTATGGGTACCATATTTTTGTTTGTGCTAAAGAGCTCATTAATGACAGAGCTAATTAAACTGTTCTGACTTGACTCAATTTCAGGGAAGAAATTGAGAAATGCTTTTTCAATATTTTATGTACATTTTTGTTGATATCTTGGGGTACTGTTTGTTTTGTTGATGATCTCTGCTGGTGTAGTGTTTGCAAGTCATTCTCAGTGCATGTTAACATTGGCGCTTTATACAAATAAATGCTGAGGGCTTCCTCACATGGGGCTGTCTATGTCAGTAAGTCTTATTTTGATGGAGAAGTTACTCAAATATGTAATCATAGTCTATTACTTACCTTAGATTAACAGTTCTGAACTTTCTAAGGACTACAATACTAACTTCCAAGTAGAAGTTGGAATACACTCGTTTGAATTCTGATTTATGTAATTTGAAGTCTGTGTATAGATCTTCCTTAAGTACTCAGAAGGTTTAACTCTCAATGTCCTTTTTCTTTCTTTCAGAAAGCTGTATTCAATTTTTTTTAAAAGTGCAAAGAAGATATAATTTTTCGTTATTGTTTTATGACTATGTGTCAGAAAAGACTTTCAGAGTGGTATTCCAAATTTACATTTATATTTCCCTACCATTTCAGAGGAACAGGTTGAAATGGTTTTAATATTTTTTAATATAATTAGTAGGGTTTTAATTTATTATTTCTTGATGAACAGGTAAAAGGAGCTCAGATTGCAGTAACTGAGCAGTCATCATGTCTCGAGCACGGCAGCCCCCACTTGTAACCGGTATCTCTCCCAATGAAGGCATCGCATGGACAAAAGTGACAATTAGAGGAGAAAATTTGGGGACTGGACCTACAGACCTCCTCGGTAAGTTGAAAAAAACACCCTTTTGGTACTGCAGAGGGGAACATTTTGGACGTGATTAGAGATAAATTTTTTTACATGATAGAATCTGTGTTCGATGTTATGAGGAGTGCCCTTTACACAAATGTGCACTTGAATCCATAAATTCAGGGATGCTTCCCAATGTGTAACTAATCAGACTGACTGTGCCTTTTTAGATGAACCCTTAATGTGACTCAGCATCCTGTGCTGAACATGAAAATGAAGAGTGAATGCTTTTTGCAGTGTACTAGAATGAGATGCTCCTTGTTACTTTGTCAAGAACTGAGAATTTCCACATTGAAATTTTCATGTCGGAAATGTTTTCAGTGTATTCCGAAAGTCACTGGGGATTCCATGCCTTGAATTAAAGTAATTTTGTGTATCTGTAGCAGTTATGACAAGGCACGTTCAGTAATTTAGCTACACAATATGTGAAGAACCCTTTTCATTGCTTTTCATTTTTAACATGGTAATTTCATTAGAATCGTCATAGCTCTTGTGCTGAAGGAGGGGACAAGATCTTTTCACTGATTCTCCTGACCTCATTAATTGCTGCTCTGTTGCTTCTTTTTCAGGCTGAAATGTCTTGGCTTATTTAAATTTTCTGCATTATCCTTGGCCTTTCTTCTTGCCCTTCAGCGAATCTCTTATTGTTTCACTAGCGGTTATGGGTGACACATTTTGGTTGTATGCAGTGTTCAGGATGTGAATGCCCTGTGGCATAACGCTGTACTTTCACTTTTGTTTTGTATTTCAGCCGTAGAGTTCTGTTTTCTGTATAACTCCTACTGAGAATCAAACTTATGTTTTTGTTGTTCTGCCTACTATAGTTCCATGATTAAATGCATGAGGATTAGTAATCAGTTTGAGCCTGCTGTCTGTGAACGTAAGGTTTTGCCTGCGTGCATCTTGTCTTTGTTCAGTGAATTTCAGCTGTTGTGTTATAATATCTACATTATGGTGCATCACTCAGTCTAATAAGTTCTGCCTTGCATTTTTCTGGGGTTTATGGTCTTCACGCTCTGAATAAATGAATATCATCAGCAAACTTTAATAGATAACTACTTTATCTTGTCATTTATAAATGTACTGAACATAAGTGATCCTGGCATACACGCTGTGGAAGCTTTCCTCAGTCAAAACACTTCATTTACTGTTACCCTGTTTCTATGTTGCTGAGCAGTTTTGCCATTAGAGGTTCTTATCCTATAGCTGCTTCATTTCCGTAAGCTTTTCGAGAAGGACTCTGTAAAATCTACTGGAAATCCAAGTTAACTGTAACTCCTGGAATTTCCCTTATTTCTTTTGTAAGTTATGCATATGTGTACTTCAGTAGTCATGTTAGAGACAATTTGTCTAATTTGTTGTGGAATCATGACTCCTCTGAAGGCCATTGGAATTTTGTTTGGCTTTGCTAGAAAAAATATTTCGCTTCATGGTTGTAAACCAATGTTCACAAATTCCATTCATGGCCACCACAATGAGCTCTATGGCCAAGCATAAGCTACTAGAGTTTTCCATTCCACTTCAGTTTGCTGTCTCTCAAAAGGGGAAGTAGTATTTTCTTGAGCTGCTAGGTGAGGTTGCGGTGCACTATAGAATCCATACTGAGAAATCCTCAAATAACTGGTGATGTTAGGGGTGAGTATATTTCTGTGTATTTATGTGGCTGATGTACTTCAATAGCCTTGTTAGTTCATTGGTATGATCCTCTTAGAAACAATCAGTGCTATGTTCTTGGAAGGAAGGCATGTCCTGAACTGTACAGTAGTGTTGCTGCTGACCAACTGCTAATATTTCTTCTTATATTTCTTTCAGAGTGACATTTGTAACACACAGCTGCTAATAATTTTATGCTTTGAGGTAAAAATAAATAATGCATTGCCTTATTTTTTCCTTAGCTCAGTTGTCAGCTTTCTCCAGTAAGCGACTAAGGCCCCAGATACATAACGATTTCTTTTAATGGTTAAATTAGGCATGTAAATATTCCCTGTTACTTTAATGGAAATACTTGGAAAAGTGAGGCTTTGTAGGCATGAGATTTAAGCGAGTTTGAGTGGGGTCTTTATAAAGTTTATAAAGTTTGAGATACATGAGTGTAAAATGAAAAGCAAGAAACTTTTTTCTTTATATAAACACAGTATCACATAATAGAAGAACATTCTTTTGGTTTCATTTGAGAGAGAGCCTTCTAGTAATCTCTTCGTATCTTTGAAACCAAATAAACTTTTTATTTGTAACTCTATAGCTCATGGTAAAAAACGTCAAATCCAGGACATACCTGTAACATTTGTGTTTTCAAGGTTTAGCTTGTCTTTTAAGACATTTGTAGCTGTATTTTTTAGACATTGTAAAATTGTCCATATATAAGCTTAAATGAAATCGGAACGTCTCCGTAAGAGTATTACTTATGCCTATTTATAGAAAGGCACGTAAAAACTAGAGAATGATGTTCTCAGAAATCTCTGTACTATGCAACAGATTCAAATTAAGTTTTATTTAAAGGGGAGTTTCCTATTTCTGAAGAAAGAAAAATGGTAACTCTGCTATCAGAACTTCTCTCCCAACATGCCTTTATTTGTTTTAGAAATTGTGTTGTGCTTTAACTGTGTTTCATGTGGTATATGAAGTGGTGATAGAGACAACTTTCTTTTGCATTTTTAAGATACAGGCAAATGCCATTTCCTGACATTTCAAAAGTATTGGACCTTGTAATCTTGTTCTCTTGAGAGCTTTTGGAACCTCTGAGTAGACAACAATTGATACAAGAATCTTCAAACAGTTGTTCGAAATTTTTTACCCTACTAAATTACTATAGCTTAGTTCTGGATTTTAAAGTATTGCTCAATTTAACCATGAATTCAGAATTTATGGGGTGAAAACATATTTATGAATGTTTTTGTATATACTTTTTGGGTAAAGTATTTCAGTTAGTCTTAGTTCCTATCACAATCTTTTTTTCTTTAGAGAAGATGCTAGCATAAAACTGTAAGAGATGTAATAATATAACAATATAACATAAGGTTATATTATTGCATATATGTAATATGCATCATAATGTAGAGCTTTTTTCTTTCCCGCATGAAACTAAAACTTGACCTGGTTAAAATTTTATGAGTAAATAAGCAAAATATTTTTTTTATTTTAAGTCTTTCTGTGTGTATATCCTATTTCATCCTACTCCCCTCCTTTTATTCAGAAAGAATATTTAAGAAACAAATCTACTGTCCTTTCTCAAGTAAAATTAATTTCAGTTGCAATATGATTCAGTGCCTTTCCATTTTTTTATTTCTTGGATTTCATTTTCAAGATAGTTTTTGGCAGGGAGTAATGCATTTTTATGTCTGACAGCCATGAAAACTGCCAAGTTTGTCTGCTGTGTCATGTCAGAGACTTAAACTGTGAGAGAAAATAAGTGTGAAGCTTTGGTACTAAGCCACATATGCTGACCCTTTTCTGTCTCTAAGTATTTTCTAAATTGGTCAGAGCTTTCTAGAAATTAAAAACAAAAGACAAGCCAACAGGGGAGGAACTGCTCTGCCTGACTAATTTATACTTCAGTACAGCCAACACACTAGTACAGCCTTGTTCTCTTGGACATAAGGCAAAATGTTTCTAGCTGTGGGTGTTACTAGAGGAACCTAATGAAGTTGTTCTCCAAATTGATACTGGAGCAGTTAGGATCTTGCGAGTTTTCCAGGACAGCAGAACTCCAGCTACAAATGTGGAAATTTTTTTTTTCTAGATCTGAGAAAAGAATTCATCTACTCCAGCATCCAGAGTCCTGATCTGACCAGAACCAATCAGTTGGTTGGTGACGGATTGGATTGTTCAGACCTTTACATTAAGGTGTACACTGACTCTTATGTCGTAAGAGGTGTTCTTGAACACTAAAGCTTGTCAGTCTCTTCCTATGAGAAAAGACCTTCTTGTATTTCATAGTTTGTCATCCGTCTTGTGAGAAAGTGTAGAAGAGGGAATAGATGAACATTACACGATTATTCTTTCATAGAGCAAGGGCAGTTTATTCATCAGAATTAGTCTTTCATCGTGCATCTTTTACAGAAGAGATTGGGATGGAATATTTGTCAATTAATACTACTTCAGCCAAAACAGCCTTCTGTGTCCACAAAAGTACTGCTAAACAAATAAGGTTGAAGAGACATTGTTCATTGTAAATATTTACAGAGCATCTTCTTTTTTTTTTTTTTTTTTTGTGCAAAGTCATATGGACTGAACTTGTGAAAGATTTGTTGCATGCAGCTTTTAAAGGAGGTTTCACAGAAATACAATACTGATCAGCAGTTCTCCAGCGTCTTGCAGAAAATCTGTTGTACTACATGAAGGAAAAGTCGCAGTAGCCCAAAAGTGGTGGAAGAGATAAATTTCAAACAGCACTATTTGTGTCTTAAGAATTGTCGCTGGGACAAAATACCTGAAGTCACTAAGGAAACATCTGAAAAATGTATTTGTGACTCCTTGAGTGTAATTGACTGTAGGGGACTGGTGAAGGGTTATATATTTATGTAAAATACATGTAGCATCGTAAATGAATTTACATTGCAGAATTTGAAAAGATACTTCTATTCACAGTAGTATGTTTCTTTCTTTTTTTTCTTCTTTTTCCCAGGTTTAACAATCTGTGGGCACAACTGTCTCCTCACTGCAGAATGGATGTCTGCCAGTAAAATTGTGTGTCGAGTTGGACAGGCTAAAAATGACAAGGGAGACATTATTGTTACTACAAAGTCTGGTGGCAAAGGAACTTCAACTGTTTCCTTCAAACTGCTTAAACCTGAAAAAATAGGTATATTTCTTGTTCAAATCCACATCTATTTTTTTTTTGCTAAGCAAATGTATGACTGAATGCCTCTGCATATAAAATGTATCTTTGAAATGGATCCACCTCAGGACAATTTTTAGTTGTTTAGAAAATGCAGACTATATCAATAAAATGTCCATATATAGAGAGAGAAACTCAGAGTATATGTAAAATTGTTACTTTCTCAGTATCTTGATAAAATCCTCAGTGATGAATGAAAAGTAGCCTTTTATTTTTCTTTATGGAATAGCTCTTAACTTCTGAAATTTTAAAGAACTTAATAGCAGATCCAGTAATTACTCTTAAGTGTACTAGATAAATACAAAATCTGGGCCAACTCATGAGCTTTACACCTAAATCCTGAGCTGACAGTTAATCCTTTAAAGAAAGTTGAGTCCTCAGTGCCATTTCTTATTTGTAATTCAAACCATCCTGCAAGACAAAGTCTCAAGTATTTCTCATGAGATGCTTAACCATTGAAATTATTTTGCCAAGCAGTCTAGGACCTCTGCTTAACCTAGAATCCAGTCTAAATACCTTGTGTATTGAAAATCTTTCTCTCAGAGCCCCTCATTGATGAAGCTCGATAGTTATCTTTCCTAACACAAGAGTTCCCACAAGAACTGTTTTAGGCTTTTATTCTCAGCACTTCAGTGGTAGTTAGATAACATGTAATTTCTCTCAAGCTGCACTAATACCTTAATAACAAAAGGTGAAATGTGTAAGTACAGATGTTACATAGTGGAGCTTGTAGTGATGAGAGAAGAGAATTCATATTTGAAGATATGGGGAAGTGTGGGGAGGGAGTAATTTCGGGTGTTGAGTATCTGATGGGTATCTTAAATGAGGGCAAGGCCAAGGGTATGGCTGGCTCCATTTTCAGTTGAGATTCAAGGATATATTATGTCTCACCTTTGTGCATTGTCTGTGCTAAGGCATTGGAAGTAAAGTGAGTTCTGTATCCCTGAAGTCATTTATCTTGTGTGGCCAAAGTTCAGTTACCTTTTGGATAGCAAGTAGGACAGAAAAGGAGTGTTCCTTAAAACATGCAAGTGAGAAGACTTTGAATTAATTGCTCTTTTGAAAGTAGCAGATAACAAGGTTTGGACAGATAACAAGGTTTGGACAGATACCAAAATACTTGCAGGAATGAAAATACTAATACTTTGTGGTCAGGATAATGCTCCTAATGTACGTGAAACTGTGCACTCTGCAAGAGGATAATATTTGATGCCCAGCCACGAATACCTTTTCAGTAGCTATAATAAAATAATTTAGCATAATTGCATCCAGGTTATTTTGCCATGTATCTTTCAGTATATTACCTAGGCATGCATTTTGTATTTATGAGGATTTTTCAAATTAATTCAGTATGTTAGAAGTTGATGGTGCTGGAGTGCCCTTGTTATTTTAAGGATCTGTGCTTTGTTTTCCCTAGGTATCTTGGATCAGTCTGCTGTCTGGGTGGATGAAATGAACTATTATGACATGCGCACTGACAGGAACAAAGGGATTCCCCCCTTGTCCTTACGTCCAGCTAATCCGCTTGGTATTGAGATAGACAAGTGAGTACCTAATGCCTTTAATCCACTTTTTTAGTGCTTTTCTCTATATGTGTCTGTGAATTCCAGAAAAGTTTAATGGTTTGCAGGGCAGGGAAAGATTTAAAAACACATACATCTATTACCTGCTGGCACTCAGAGTTGTTAGTTCACATTGTATCCTGCTTCATAATCCTCTCTTTCGGATCATCAGTTAGAACTGTAGATAATCTAGAAGCCTGATATATTGAACCCCAGTGATGTTTAGATTTTGAGGATTGGTAAATAACCTAATGCTTCGGATTTGTACATTGTAGTTACAGAATACCTACTGCATTTGAGTTTCACGGGGCTTTTAAGGATATTAGATTGCTATCTATTGCTAAAATTGCACTGTAAAATGTGATTTATTATGCCACATCAGCTAGTTTATTTTATTGAAATACTAATACTGTTCTCCAGCCCACAGTCTTCTTTACTTCAGTTCTTAAGTATGGTGGAATTTATGACTTCTTTTTTTACTGAAATAGTAACTTTATAGTGAATGAGAAATGGAATTAGGGGTCTTTAAATGGGACACTCTCTAAACATGCCCAACTCTTAGAAGCAGCATCAGGAGTACTTCTCTCAATCAAAATGCCAGCTCTACCAAAAAAAAGGCTATTTAAAATTAAAGTATTACTAAGGTCTCATCTGCTGAATACTCTTGTTTGTGAGGGGGAGTGCATTGGAAAAATTCTGCACTGTCCGTTGTTGCCTTGTTCTGATGAGAAAGCTGCAGTTTCCCAAAATCTGGATTTCTACTGGATCCACGTCACCTTCTAGCCTCTGGCTGTGCATTTCTTTCCTAGCTTGAATATGTATTTTTCTTTTTTTTCAAAGTAGTAACCCATTTTTTGTAATAAGCTGGAGATTTTATCTCTGAGTGTTTTTCTTTAGCCTTTGGTGTAACTTCTGACAGGTAATTCTTTCATGTTCCTCAGTTTTCCAATTCCTGACAGAACATGAACCTTCATACTATGGACAGTATTACAGTGTGTTACTTGACGACTTTCTGTCACTCTTCCACTCACCCTCCCCTTTTTGTAAATTAAAAACCCCATAACAATCCTTTTTTATCACTGTGCTGCACAGCAACTAGCAGTGAGTGCTTTGTTAGCTTATTCTCTTGAGTCACTATTTATAGTTAAGACATTATCCATCTGATAGAGAAGGAATTATCATATGGAAACTTTAGTTGCATTAGTTTAGGATTTGCATACTTTAGAGTTATCTCTTTGGCTGTTTGTTAAATAGAAAACCAGCCATGTTATATTTTAAATGTTCTTTCTGAAAGCATTAGAAAATTTGTTACTGAAACCTGAAGTTTTGTGTGAAAAAAAGTAAGTTACAAACATGTAAATACAGTTAGGAAATAACCTTTTTTAGAGGGAGGGAATTAGGAAATCTTTGGGCAAGCATATTAAGCCTAGTTCGTTGTTCTTGATCTCCCAGGTTCATTGCAGGAGAAGCTGGAAGATTATGGCAAACACCAGTTTGAGAGACGTAACACTGATCAGTATAGGAAGTGTCTGTGTGGAGGAATTGAGGGGTTACGTTGTGCAGAGGGGAAAGGGAGGAAAAGCCTGGTCTGCCCTCGTGCTGTGGAGACAGCACAGTTCTGACTATAGCTGAACATTCTAGGTTTAATTAAAGAATGCTTTCTCAATAGAAAGACTTCCATAATTTTCTTGATAAATTGGAGCAATGTGAGGCTGATTTCTAGAAAATAATCTTTAATACCATATAGTTTAGCTAAACTCACATGTCTGCAAATACTTTACATATGGAATGGGTGAGTATTGAGAAATTGTACAAGGTGGTGAAAAAAGCCATTGTAAACTAAGAAAGAGGGTGAATAAGCAAGAAATTAGCAATAACCATTACTAGATATGGAAATATTTGTCTCTAGAATTGATTAAAATTGTTAGGATGCTTTAAAATAGAAGACATCTTAATACGATCCTAATAATACTGTTGAGTATGCAGATAGGATCTGCAGCATCCTGGATCTCTTTTTTATTCATACGTTTGGCTTCTCTAAACTTTTTCTTTAAACACGTGCAAATTGGGATGTATTTTAATTTTGAAGCTGAAGCATTTGGCATCGGTCTCACTTGTTGGAATTTACAGCCCTTGCAGCCTGATGCTGACAGGTAATGGAAAAGAGTGCCTTGTATTGGTTATGCAAATAGTGATAAACAGAAGAAATATTAATCGAGAGCTCAGAGAGAAAAGCAGTGAAAAACAGATGTGATAAAATGGAGTAGGAATAAACTATATAGGAGCACACTGAAGAGAAGGCAGAGGAAGGTGATTAGACTACAGACTGAAAGAGAAAGAAGCCCTTCCTGTAGAAAGTGATTATCAGGCATTAGCAAATATACAGAAAGGACAAACTGCTACATGGGAATTATTTAGTTGTTCTGAGGAGGCGTTTTGTTGTTATTATGGTTTTTTATGTATGGGTTATGCTTGGTTTTAAACGTTCCTTTTGTGGCTTTTAAAAACTTTTTTTAATGGTACTTTGTACATTTAAAATGTGTTTAAAAATTAATTAGTTTTTGAACCATTCTGGTAGATGCTTTCAAGGTGCTGCAAATGAGACCTTGAAATTAGAGAAAAAAGACTTGTAAGTAAAGAAAAGAAGAGATTCAGTTCAGCAGTTTGCTAAATTATTAAGCATGCACAGGGCCAAAAACAAGTGGTTCATATTCAGTAGATTGGAGTTTAATTGGGAATGACTGAGATTTAAGTGAACAGAAGGTTTGAACTGTGAATTAAGGGAAATACATAATAGTGGCTCTGACGTTCTTTTAATAATTAGAATACTGCCTATGGATACATTGTAGGAGTAGCATACATATGCTCAAAATACACACTGGAATTGTCTATTCATATTCACATTCAGATGTTGCAAGGATGCAGAAAATGCTATGTATGTATAGTCATCCTTCTGGCTGTTCTTTTACTTAATTGAGATATTTTAAATGTTACATGTATAGTCAAGATATTTTAACTATACGTGTATACTTAATATTCAGGCTATCGTCTTTCAGCCTGCAAGTAGTGGTATATATAATAGCTGGCTGATAAGTTCTTCACATTTTCCAAAAATTAATTGCAGTTCCTGTGTCGTGTAACAAAGACTCTCACTTGCTAATAAAAAATTCCTCACCACCTCAATCTTCTTCATGAGTCGAGGGGCCCAGAACTGGACACTCAAGGTGTGGCCTCACAAGTGCTGAGTACAGGGGGATGGTCACTGCCCTGGTCCTGCTGGCCACATAAATGCTGATACAGGCCAGGTTACCATTGGCTTTCTTGCCCATGTGGGCACACGTTGGCTCACATTCAGCCACTGTCAGCCAGCATCCCCAATTTCTTTTCTGCCAGGCAGCTTTACAGCCACTCTGCCCCCAGCCTGTGGCTGCCTGGGGTAGTTGTGACACAAACAAGATTCAGCCTTGTTGAACCTGATAGAGTTGGCTTCAGCCCATCAATCCAACATGTCCAGATCCCTCTGCAGAGCCTCCCTACCCTCCAGCAGATCAAGACTCCTACCCAGCTTGGTGTCAGCTGCAAACTTATTTGGAATACACTTGATCCCGTTGTCAAGATAATTTATAAAGATACTGAACCAGACTGGCCCCAGTACTGACCCTTGGGGAATCCCACTAGTGACCATCCAACAACTGGAGGTAACTCCATTCACCACCACTCTCTGGGCATGGCCTTCCAGTTTTTAATCCAGCAAAGAGTACACCTGTACGAGTGTTGAGTTGCCAGCTTCTCCAGGAGAAGTCTTAAATAGGTTCCAGGAAGAAAAGTGTGTGCAGAGTAGTTACCTCAGTGTGAGAAATGTGGAACTTGGTGTGAAATTCTGACCTTAGCACCAATTTGGCAGTACTTGGGTTGGTTTTAGCAGTTCAGAGCTGTTACAAAAGCAGGCTGGTAACACAAGATCATTCCGAATTTTGTATGGTTCTGGGAGAGATTGTCTCATAGACACTGGTTGAAATATGTTGATGGAAGGTTTAGATCTGTGTGAGATTTGTGAATGAATTGCTTGTTCTGATGTACTACATACTTCCCCCTCCTGCACGACAAGTCTTTGCTTAACTAGGGGTTCCCTGACTCTTCTAACTACTCTGTCAGACTAAGAAAAATCATTCTTTGCAAAACACTAACATCAGTCAGACCTAGTGGTGGTTACAAAATTTTTAAATAGTGTTTGTTGTTTTGCATGTATCAGAGGTCACTCTGGTGGATCCATCTCGTACATGAAAGCAAAGGCTGACATGCTAAGTACATTCCACATACTTCTGTGTCCACCCACTCAATACAGATGCTTCCCTCTTCCCACGCCAGCTTCCAAAACAGTTCATCTGGGAGAAGGAAACAGATGATCTTACGCTGCCATCTAATGGTAAATGTCAGCTTGCTACCACGAGATAGGAAAAGACACTCTGGAGGCTGAGATGTTTATTTTGAAATGGCTTGTATGGAAATGCAGCAAATTTCATCATTGAATGTGATGGTGTGTGGAAACTTGATCACGGAGATACATGCCAAAAAATTCTGAAAGCTGCAAAAGGCAGTTGCAGTACAGTCTTAGCTTTATGATATTAAAAATAAAGTAGCGCTTACTACTTGTTAGGCTGATGCATCAGCTGCAGCTACCAGCCTATAACCTCTTAGATTTCTCTTACCACATTCTGCCAGTTCTAAGATACGGTTGCAGCTTTGTTTTCATATTTCTTATGAAATAAAAGTGCTACTAGGGAGGAATTGCCAGAGTACACCCTTGTCTTGTTGCTGTTGGAGAGACCTTTGTTAACACCTTCTGATTTGCCTTGTTTAGTCTACACCAGTGTCCCTTACGCTGGTCTTTTTGCATGCATTATTAACACAGTACAGCTGGTACAAAGCCAGCTTCAAGGAGCCTGACTGGTACCAGACAGAGAGGGGAGTATACAGCAGCTCTAGCTAGGGCTTGTTTATGCTGGTTGCTATTCAGAATCTGTGTTTATTTAAAGTTGCTCCTTTTGACCTTTTGTAAACTCCTGTGGAACTGAGCTTCAAGTTACCTTTTGGTGGCTGTATCTTGTTTTGGGATGTACCTTTAATCTGCAAATATTGTCATATACGCTGAAATTGTTACGGTAAGATTCTGAAGTTCTGGGAGCAAAACAAATTTTACAGAAAAACTACTACTTGCTAAACTGCCTTCATTGTCAGGCTTTGTTAATTAGTATCTGTTGCATAATTAGTGTCTGTTGCTCTTACTCGGTTTTGGCTCCTTGAAGGCTATGATTTACCCATGGAAACTTCCAGCTAATCTCTGGAGAATATAAATTCTGTGTGTGGGTGCAAATTCTGTAGTGGAATTTGTAAGAGCCCCTGTATCCTGTACTGTTAAATTAGGTTTATTCCTATTAGGCTATACAGAACCTGGAGTTTGGGGTAGTGCAAGGAGGAACTTCTATTGATGGGCACGTGTGGCACAAGTGAATTGATTGTACTCCACGTGTTTTGAGTCCAAAGTAAATTGCATGACCTTTACATGGAAGCAAGGACCACTACATCTAATGTTATATGACTCTATTAACTATACTCAAAATGTGTATGAGGGAAGTGAAAGTGTATAGTGGCTTGTAACTAAGATGTATTTTTATTATACTTCTCATTAATATAACCACTGTGTGAAATCTCAATTTCTTTTGTATTTAAAATTGTTGCTGAAGCATGAATAAGACTATTTTGAAATGTTAACTATAGGTCTAGTACAGGTCTAGTTCTATTCTAGGTAAAATAGCGTGCCTAGAAAGTACTAGTATACAAATCCAGTATGTGTACCTATGCTGAAATTGTAGAGGTAGTGTAATACTTAGGGTTGTCAAGGGTGGTAAGCATCACTCTTCTTTTTCTGAGATTTTTCTGGATTCAGTTTGTGGTTCCCAGCTGCTTTTACGGTGATTACTTTTTATAATGATTAAGTGTTCTTCATGAATGATTCTTGTGTAATGAGCAAATCAACAGAAAAATGATTTACAGTTTAATTGTATGTCATCATGATCTAAGCTTTTGCTACTAGTTCATCTTCACCCCGTAATGTTGAAAGAATAAACCAGAAATACTTTCTCAAGTCACATATGGGCTTGTTTATAAGTAAACAGTAAGCAAGTTTTCATGAGAACAACTTCCAAAAACTGACTTATTTAATTTACTAATGGAAGTTAATGAAACAAACTTGTGTGTATGTGGAGTCAGTCTCTTTTTAGATGCATCTGGCCAGACATTCTAGAAATACAGTTGCTTTCAGTTTGAAAAACTTCTTCAAAACTTCATTTTGAAGACAGCTGTAGCAAATCTGTGTGGAGCAAGCTGTAGTGTATCTGTTAGTGGGAAAACTACTGGTAAATGTACGATAAAAATAAGGATACTAAACCATGGAGTATTGTTAACACACCTCACACATTCACATTCATGTTTCCAGTCTGTTGTGACTATGTCTAAAATACATCTGCACAGATAAAAGCATTGTTAATTTGTGGTTCTACACAAATACATCTGCTGGAAAAAAAACTTGTAATAACTTTTCAACGTAGTCAAACATCAAACTGAAAAAAATATTCTTTCATTTGTGTCCCTCTTTCTGTAGACAAGATTCATTTGCAGTAATTGATTATAAGTCTTGGTCTTTCTATATATATTATATATTTTAAAATAGTTTCTTTGTTCCCCTTAGGAATTGTATAGCTCATGCATAAGCTTAAATTGCCATGCATATCCCTTACAAACCTGCAGTAATGAGTAGCATTTGGTAGTGGTATATTTGAGTGTGTGTGGTTTTTGTGTTATAGTTGTCTCTTTTGGTTTTGCAGAACATACATGGAAATTCTGAAAATATGAGCAAAATTCCACTTCTGTAGTGATTGCATTTACTTAAATAGTGCTTGCACAGAATGTCTAAGTCTCTCTTGAAAACTTGAAGTTTCTTGCTTTTGTTTTTTAGCATTAAAAATGCAGCTGTCCACAAAGATGTCACCATGTGTGGATCTAATGTAAATGCTTTTTTGTACACTTGTACTGCATATCACATGTGAAATACTATCCTTCAAGTTCATGCTCCTACTGGGCACTTTTGACGAATTTGAGGGTAAAATAAATATCTTAAATTGTCTTTAAATTAAGAATAAATTGAAACTTTCTTCTTACATCCATCAGCATTTTCTGCTTACTATCATTCATGAAATTTAAGATCATTGAAAATCCTGAATGTCACTACTGATGTCTAAAAGTTTTATTTTAACATCATCACGTTTTCATTGAGCACAGGCAAATGTTGGGACCCTCACTTTTTTCTCGCTGCATTTGTTTCTCACACTATTTTCCCTGTATCTCTACTTTTCATATCTGTCATCACTTTTCCTTGCATCTCATTTGATTTTCTTCTGGTTTTTAAAAAGTATTGTTTCATGCCCCTGCTGTAATCAGGTGCTACTGATGAAAGACTTCTGTACCATGTCATTATGTACGTAGGTCCTTTGTACCTGCTTGTGCTAATGGCCATTTGGATCTGAAAAGAAACTTCTGAAAACAACTCCTCTCTATATAATTGTACTTTTTAATGTGCCCGCCTTTAGATTTGTTTCACTTAATCTGCTGTTTGCTTTTTGTAATAAAAGCAGCTTTAACTATCTTGAAACATGTTTAGATTACAGAAAAAACTAAAACTAACAGATCACTGCTTTTGTGTACATTTAAATGGCTTTCCACATGTGTTAAATGTAATTCTTATAACTGACTCTAGATTACTACTCCCGCCCAAGTTTACTCTCAGATGAAAAGTATGGCAGATTTTCATTTGCATACGGTATACTTTGTATAGCAAAGCTCACCTGATTTGTGAGTATCAGAGAGGGACTTCATTGTCTTTTGAGTTGGATTTTGTGATCCAAAAATGAAATAGTAAATTTTTGGGATAGATGAGCATGTTTCACTTGCAAGGTACATAAGTCTATCTAGTCCAACTGACTAACCCATTTAGGCTGACCAAAAGTGAATTTTTTTGCCTCAGTCTCTGAAGATGGGATGCAGCTGGTGGTGAAGATGAGAGGAGGGAGTGCACCTGGTGATATATTGAGTGCATGGTGGAATGAATATGGCCAAGTGTTGAGTGTGTGTGTCCAAACTAAGGGATGAAGGTTGTCATGTTTTCATCAAAAAGTGCTTTAAATATTTTTATTACACAGACTTAAAGTGAATGGAATACATTTTCTGGAGTATCTTAGAAGCTGCTTACAGTTTTAAAAATGCTGTTGTAGAAAATCTGTTTCCACAAAGAATTGGCTTGCATGCATTTTAAGACTGAAAAAAACTAACAGAACCTGCTGGCTGTCACTTGAGATAAGACTGTTTTTCCATTGTTTTGTGTATGGTGAGCAGACAGATCACTGTGTTCTGTTTTGCAAGAGAATTATTTTAACTCAGTATTATACTTTTTTCACTGTTTGTATATAATGGAAGTATATTCTGTGTATCTCCCTTTCGTGTTTCTGTGTGACTTTTACTTCTCCAGAATCAATAGATCATAATTGAGATCATTTACAAGCTGTCAAACTTCTGATGTCCTGCCGTTTTAGAGTTAAATTGAAGCATTTTGTACAGACAACATTTCTTATGTGTAATAGTGAAATAAAAATGGTAGAATTAGTTTTACTTAGAATAGATTTCAGTCTCTCTTAGTCATATATGACATGTGACTGTAATAGTGGATTTAATTTTAAGGTGAGTTACAAGTTAATGTTCCCATCTTATAGAGAAATTATTTGGTCTTCGTTGTTAGTTCGGGGTTTTTTGTGACTGTTTTAATTGTAAACTGTTTACAAGGCTATGTTTCACTGAAAAAATGAATATTCATTTTTCAGGGGCAGATTTCCTCAAAAAGATTTAGAGTCGCTGTTTCCTGGGATGAGCGCTGATTTCACAAGTGAAAACTTTTCTGCTGCCTGGTACCTGATTGAAAATCATTCAACAACAAGGTTTGTTGCTGTCATATAAGTAATTGTTTTAAATGCAAGTCCCTGATGGTATTTCATGCTGTAGATGTGTCAATGGTGGTTTGCATTTATGGCAATAGAACTATAGTCAGAATTGTCTCTGGTGTTTCTGCTTGGCCTGAAACTTTAATCAACCGGTTTGCTTAATTTGTTTCTGAGAAAGACCTTGTTTTTAACCAGACCTAATTTATGATGTTGGATTTTTTATCCCCATCCCTCAATGTCAGATGGAAACTATCTTTCTTTAAACTTTATGAATCAAGAAGTTAGCATGGCCTTGAGTGGAAACTCCAGATGTTAACTCATGAACAGAGACACAGGTTATGGGCGCTGAACAGATTTCTAAAATTGTTAGTCTCAATTAGGTTGTAGTTAACACTTGTGGAAAATGCTATAGTAGCAGAAACTGGACAAGCAAGTAGGATCTTTGTAGTCAATTTTTTGAAATCTTGACAATTAAAATCCTAATTTAGAAATACAGTTGATAGTATGTACTTGCATGAATGTATTATATAAATATAGTTTTGCAGGTATAACTGAGTTCCAAAACCTTTATCTGCTTGTGTTCACCTAATTCTAGAAGCCATTTTTAATAGAGAAGATGAGCTTTTTTTTGCGTTTACAGGTAGATACTTCGATTGGTATATTAAAGGGAAATACCATATTACAAATTGTTTTAGTTTTGTTTCCTACTGATAGAAAAAGGTTATGGGTTGCTTCTTGGTTTTGGGGGTGGGAGGATATTCAGTTTTTGAAGCTCCAGAAATAACTATCCCACTACTTGGGAAATACTTACATTTCCTCTCAAAATGATGGTGCTTTAAAGGGCCAGAACAGCAAGAGAACATTATTACCTAATACACATATAGTGACCGCATCTTTTGAACTCAAATAACTAAGAGGAGTTATTCCAAATTAATTCTGTCTGTCAGAATCTGATAACTTTGGGGATCATCAAGTTGTTTGTTTTTTTTTTTTTAATCGAGGGGATAATAAAGTAATAAGGAGTAAACAGCTTTTGATGTAGGTCTTCATAAAAATTTTTCTCTATGTTGGGCCCTTGGACTGTTTTCACTTTGTGGCAACATGCTCATCCGTGTGGGCACCAGTGACACTGTCCAGAGAGATGTAGAACAGATCACAAGTAATTGCAGACAGGGGACAACAGTGAAGAATGTGGGAGCCTAGGTATTCCCTTTGATTTATGTGTGAAGGGGAAAGCTTCAGGTAATAGGCATGCATCCTGTAGGTTCACAGATGGCTGTAGCCCTGGTTTCAAAAGCAGCACTTTTTACTTCTGTAGCCAGATCCATGACTAAAGAACAAAGACTGCTAGTGAGAAATGGAATTCATTTGAAAAAGTGGGGTTGGAGTGTGGGAGCATCTTTGCCAGCAGGTTTGCATTTTGGTGTGAAAAACTTCAAATTTGGAATATCAGGGGATGGTGATAACAGCCTGCAGTTAAATGAAGGGACAGAGAGCTACCTGTGGGTTCAGTGATGGCATTAAGAATGCTGTAGGTAGTTACAAAATCACCTGAAAGTGTCTAACCTCAAGTGCCTTTACACACTCACATGCTGTCTGAGAATCAAGTAAGAGACAATTAGACAAACATGCCACTGGAATAAAGTGGGATAGCTCATGTACCTAGTATTTTCGGATGTATAGCAAGAGACCACCTGGAAAAGATACCCAGGAAGGAAGACAGGGACTTGACCTTCATGTGAAGAACAGCTGGAATAAATATATGGGCCTTGTCATGGAGCAGGATGGTTGAGATCTTGTTCAGGAATCTGGAACGGTTGACATTGCAGTGGCATGAAGAATTGAACAAAATCTTCCTTAATCAACTTGGGGAGATTTCCAGAGAGCAGACCCCGGTGTTTCTATAATACTTTAATGTCTTTCATATCTACATGAGGGGCAGCAATCCTGGGAAGCTTGTGAGGAGTTCTGGGAATGATTTCTAACATAGCTGCAGTATGGGCCTTCAGGCGTGCTACTCTTTTGAATCTGATTCTTGCAGTCAAGGCAAGGAATATTATAACCGGTGGCAGCCATGGCTGTAGCAATTGTGAAATAGTTGAATTCAATATACAAAGGGGTGTGGGGAAGGCAAGCAGGAGAGTACACACCTAGGATTGGAAAGCAGTCATACAGAAGACAATCCAGTGTTTGTAAAAGTTGACTGTCCAGTGCAAATCATCTTCTGGGGTGTTTCAGCAGCAACGTGTTTGATAAGGTATGGAGATAATTATACTGCTTGGCATTGTTAAAGTTGCAGTTGAAGTTCTTTGCCCAGCTATGGCCACTGCTTTAAGAAAGGTGTGAGAGCTGAGCCACAAGCTCAGGAGTGGATAAATGTCAGTGGCTATACAGCTTGAATGAGTTAGGTGCTTTTAGGAAAAACAAAACCAAACAGCATTTTAAACACTTTTTCTAGTATCAGCTTAAGTACTTCATCCATCTTGCTGAAAAAAGTTCATTAATTTGTGTCTTTGCATGTCGACAGTTTCAAGTAATGATCTCCTCCATCCAGTGGAATAAAAGGTGTTAATTTGTACTTTTAAATGAAATCTGGAGCTTTTTGCGTATTAAATCCATTTATATTGGTTTATAAAATCTGAATCTTAGTGTTGAAGGTCCAAGAACAGTGTAAAACTCAACAGGAGGAAATGCTCAAAGGGTAGGGCGAATCCAGTAATATTTTGAATCTTACTATAAGTATCTCTTTAAATAAAGATGCAGCAAAACTGTTTTGTTGGTTTTCTTTTTCTTCCCAATTCAAAATGTGTAGTCTTAAAAATATTCTGGAATTGTATAAATATCTGCCCCATATAATTTGTGCTGTTTTTCTGGAAACACAGCAATGGTTTAGTTCTTGTCCTCTACATAACCTAGCTATTGGAAATTGTAAATGTGTGGTGCACTGACATTTTGGTTAGCTTATGTCTGTTTCTTCCTTGAAGGACATTCTTTTTAAGAAATAAATATAACGTCCTTTTTACTTCTTTTTAATTCTTTTAATCCTGGAAATATCCTTTTAAATATAAATAAACTATGTTGGCACAATGTTAGATCATCAGATAACATGAAACAGTGCTTAAAAGGAGAACTGTCCAGATTTCTGTTATTTGTTATTGAAAATGCTGCTGGTAAGTACTTCTCATATGCCCTGGTGGACCAATCCAGGTAATGAGTAATGTTATTTCTGTCCAGCAGATGGAAACAGAAAGTTAGGCAAAATGTTGTGACATAATCAGTATAAAAAGAAAAGTGCTTCTAAGTGCACCAATGTGCTTTGTCTCCCAGCAGGTGGTGATAGCCTTCTCATTGCCTGGGCTAAAATTTGGTTTGTTCTCTTAATGTGTCTTTTTGTACCAGCTCTTTTTAAAATGGGCAGAATATTGATGGAATTGTCTTATGTATTAGTTTTCTGCTTTGTTGATTCCCTTACCTCACAGAAGTGTAGAGCAGTTTTGGGGGTTTTTTTTGTATTGGGGAGATTGCTTTGGCCTGCAGCTAGGAAGAAAGACTTTAAAGATGAAAATTATTTGCTATATTTGTATTTCTGAGCTTTTTCATGGTGGTGTTTTTATAGTTAATCAAGTAATATAACTACCGAAGTCATATTAATCATCATCAACAAAAAATTACCTACAATTAATGAAGATTTATTCACAACTTTATATTTCTCAAGTGAGAAGGTGCAGGTGCTTGCAAAAAATAAAGATGTGAAATCAAATCTAAACTTTCAGAAATTGAGAAATATTATGAAACTAAGATAAAAAGAAAGCCACCATACCAACTATGAGTGGCAGTTAATATTGCCCTATGAAGTGTCTTTCAAAAATATTTCAGCAGATTGCATATAAAAACCATAGCTTCATAAAGCAGGAATCTGTTTAGCTTTTCTTTATTTTGTACTAATATGGTATTCAATTCTGAACTGTATGTCCAAACCAAAATAAAAACATTGAATGAATTCAGAAACAAAAGTGGGAAAGGATTGTGAGGTAAGCTGCAGAGTTAAACAAATGCTATTATTAAAGAGATTTCTAACATCTCACTAGTTAATCTACTGTGTACTAAGTATAGTGAATTCTACTGTCACCTATTTAATATACTACAGACAGTTAAGTAAGAGCAATGTTGCATGTTTAGAAGAAACATCTTGACTAGTTTGTATTATCAAGAAATCTCTTCAATCACAAGTGATAGGAGCACTGTATTTAGGGTTGAAACTAAAAAACTGAGATCTTTGGACTAAGAATAAACTCTCATTATTGGAAAGCACACTTATTAGCAATTACTTCACCCTTACTAGTTTTTCTGAAAGGAAGTGGTTTTATTTTCCAAGTAGTTTGTTCTGTTTATGTATTAGCTGACTTTATTGTTTGAATATCTCTGAGGTTTTCTTGTTTGTTTTCAGTTTTGATCAGCTCAAAACGGCTGTTGTGAATTTGAAGAAACAAGCCAATAAGAAAAACGAAGGAAGTCTAGCTTACGTGAAAGGAGGTCTCAGCACATTTTTTGAAGCACAAGATGCTTTGTCAGGTAAAGATGCTTTGCACTTACTAAGTACAGTATAAAAAGAAATACTTGACTGCATATATGGTTGAATTTAAGAATTAAAAAAATATTGTTTCTCTTCTCAGTCAGTACTAAAAGTGTATAATGAGTCCAAAAATCTGTGTTGTGTTGGTCACAAACTAGAACTGATTGATGTGGTTTATTTGCAAAAGATGTCACCAGCTGTATCTTACAGGAATTGAAGGTGTTTCATCAAATTGCTTAGACCACAAATGCAAGAAAGAGAAATGTTAAACTGGAGTTAATATTAAGATGACTTGCAAACTGTAGCAACATAAAAAACTTGATTTTCATTATGCCCTATTCAATAGTCAGATGGCAATATTTACATGAATATTTATGTGAATATCCAGACACTTGTTACTTTGGGAAATCAGAGAGTCTTTCTGTTCTGCTTGCCACTGGGAGAATGCAGTCCTCTAGTGAGAGTATTGTAGTTGCCATTTATATGTATATATATATATATATATATGTATTGTGTATATATATATATATGTAGTGTATATAGACACACGCAGTCACACTCTTAAAGCATCAAATGTCTCACAGGTCAAACCTCGTTATAGGCTACTGTAGTCTTGTCTAGTGAGGCTGTGGTCTGGATAAGACAGCAACAGTGCCCAGGAAACCATCTCCAATAGGTTTGTCTTTTACCACTATGCAGATTATCCATCCTGGTCATTGACCTCTTTGGCCAAAATCTGACGAGGTTTAATAACAAAAGTATTAAAGAATTTAGCAGAAAACCTGGCAAATGTGGTGGTACTCGTAGAAAAAGACTAAGAAGAACCATTATTTGGCATTCTTTCACCTTTTTAAGCTGAGTTTTCATTAAATGCGAGGAAAAGTAACAGGCTTTCTTTATAATTCTTACACATCTTGAAAATATTGAAATCCTATTTTTTTATTAAATTCTCTCAAACATAATCCGGAATAAATATTGAAATGTGGTTTGTTTTTCACAACTAAATCTGCTTTGCATATGGACTATCTCTAAACGACTGAGAGTTCTGTTCTCAACGAGTTGCTCCTATAGATAAAAAGTAGTGCTAACAGTGTTGCCTTATAAGATTTTTTTTTTTTTTGGATCAGCAAATACTTATTAGGATTTGAAGCAATATAAGGCAAACCATGAATGGTATGAGGTTTTAGAAAAGCTGAGCACAACTGAGTAATTTTCTTTTCTTCCACCTCTTAGTAGCATTTTGCCTTTGGAGACTGATTTTCTGATAAATGAGGAGGTCAATGAGCAAGCAGTAATGTGAGAAATGTTAATAAAATTATGGTAGGGAAAGCAACCTTAGTTATTTTATTAACTACTGTAGTCTCAATTTTTTAAAAATCATAAGCTATAATATTGCTTTGCATCTTTTACCTTTGTCAGTGTTATTTTTACCTAAATTCAGGGTTTATCAGTGTAGTGCTTTTTAGCTCGATTATGAACTTAAACTTGGGATGACTCAAGTGGTTCTTGATACCACTTTTTGTCTGTAGCCAAAATGGCTTGGCTTTGGTCCTGATGTGCTGTTGTAGAAGAAAATTAGAGACTTAAAGCCTCACTCTTATAAATTCAAAACTATAACACTGAAGTTCAAGGGCAACATCAATATAATACTTAGTTTTTAAATTGTGAACCCAAATTCTGAATGAGAATGCAGTACAGGTCACAGATGCCTTCTGCAGCATTTTAATACACATTTCTCTGTTGAAATGTCATATTAAATGCCTGTGGAAAAGTATTTTTGTTTCTTTTCAGTTGATACTCTTTTGCTTCTTTTCACTCTTACTGCATATGAATTTCAGTTTTGAATGCAGAACTACTTATTTACCTGTTCTTCTTCCTTATGTAGTATATTTTTGAAAGACTATAGCTGGAAAAACTACAGAAATTTTGGAAGACTTGAACTTGTGATAGGTACAATCAACTTGTTAAGTTGAATTTGGCTCCCAATAGCAAGAAGAAAAAAAGGACTTCTTTGATGCAATCATCCAGTCCTACTGCCAGATGTCAAACCTTTTTCCAGAACGTTCTATCACTAGTTTTCTCAAATGAAAGATGCTGAGAATTAAGAGTAAGCATTATTAGCATTTTTCTAGAGAAACAGCTCAGATGCAGATTTTAAAAAACCAACAACAAACCACCAAACAAAAACCTTCAAGCAAACAACCCCTCCATTAATTCTACAGCATGCAGTTATGAAATCCAAGCTTTTTAACAGGCGAACATTAAGTTAAAAATATAATCTGGCTAGACAATGATTGTGCAAGATGATGGAAAGGCAGTTTTCTGCCCTTAAACATGTAAGGGTGAATTTTTATGTCTTAAAAATTTTTATGTCTCCTTTAAAAAAGTGCAACTAGAATTTGTATGCGTTTCAACAAAGCTATGTGAGGAGTAGTTTATATTTGAAAGCTGAACAATTGTTTCAGCCCAAACTCTTAGAGATATAGCCATTGTTCTGCAAACTTCTGTTATTTGATGCTAAGCATACAACTGTCACAGGTGAAAAGTGGCTCAAGGGAAGACCCTGACTGAATACATTTTTTCTGTCTTCCAATATGATTAAATTTTCTGAATTGGTTCATTTTGGTTTAGATATTTTTTAACTCTCTTGCTTTGAGAAGATTTCTAAAATCTAATTTATTTTCCAAAGATACAGGGTTTTTGAGGGCAAAAAAGTTAGACTCTCAATTTCCCCCTTCAGATATCTTAGAACACTTCTTCTAACCCCAGTGGTTATGCTTCATAAACTGCAGGTCCATTGCATTGTACTTACATAACAGAGCTACTTGTGAGCAGTTATTTCTCTTAAGTCTCCCTAAATTAGTACAGGAAAACCTTTTGTAGGAGGATTACATTAGAAGGTATGACACTTGCTTCTCTATTTACTTAATACTCCTCTACAGCTTTTATACATGCTTTTTAAAACTCACATACATTTAACAATATTTACTTCAAATATGATACCTTGATAATGGAAACGCTGCATTACTGATCATTGTGCAGCTTTTTTCATTAGTTAGGACCAGGAAGTTCTGTCTGATCTTAAATGTACTGTCAGACTCTACACATTTAAATGAGTATTAATATTTTCTTAAATAAGCAATGGAAAGCATAAAAAGCAGTCCTAAATGTTTATTGTATTTTATGATTTAGAGGCTGTTTACTAAGAAAATAAGAGCTCAAATAGACCAGAGCCCTTCCTTGTTTGGTTTAATTTCTGGGAAAATAGAATAGCTTTATCAGATCCCCGTGTGTCTCTGCCTGTTCTGTTAGCTTGGCTGACAGTTTGACGGTGACTCTGCAGAGGAGATGTTCAACAGGATGTTTGTTTCGGCAGCTGAATGGAGCTGTAAACTGAGCTGAGGGGAGCAGGGTTTATCTCAACTTGACCCACTTGTCAGTGTCAGGGAGTTCAGCTGGTTTATTTCCTGTAATTCTAATTGCAACCTAGAAAGTAGCATTCCTAAAAGGGTGGCTGTTTATATATTTGTAGTTAAGACGTATTTCATTGTCATGAGGAAATCGGGTCCCACACAGAAGTCATTAGGAAAATTAGAAAATTAATTTTCTTTCAGTGTATTTTTTTCTGAAATGCTCTTTGCAATGAAAGTAAGGCTGCAGTTTCTTCTTATTTAAACAAAAGGACAAAGTTAGGGAAGTTACTCTTCAGTCACTCACTCATACAAAAATATGTAGGTACGTTATCTCTGTTGGCAGGTAATGAAGATGCTGTAATGTCTTTAAAACACAGATATAATGAATGAATTTGAGGTTTAGATTTGGCTCTCTAGTTTGCCATGGCAACAGTTTTTTTGCAGTTACAACTACAAACACATTTTTCATTATTTTCAGGAAGTCCATACAAAAGAAGCACTGCTGGCTCTTACAGCACTGTCCCTTTCTTCCCTTTCTCACTCCTGTTTAGATATGTGGCCTGTGGGAATACCTGCATGATAGAGAGCTTGTACTATAGTTGGCCTTTTGTCTGCTACCTTTCTTAATACATAAGTGAGGATAGTGTGGCTGAAATTACCTGGCTGAAAGGATCCTAATCTGGCTGATGCCTAGTTTTTTGATTTGGTTTTGGTATTTTTCTTCCTATAGATTATTTTTACGCTTCATTCCCTAAGGCTCATTCTGGAAAGAGCATGTTAGTGATCCAGGCTGAATAAGTCTGTGCTGCTGACATTATGTCTGTTAAATTCATTTTCTCTAAAAGTAAAACAAAAGCTATCACCTGAGGTATATTCAATTCTGAGTCAGACTGGGAATTTGAGAAGCTAAAAACTGATGCTAGTCTGTCATAAATGTGTCCCTTTGCTTCACACTTTCGAGTTTTGTTACATTTGAATTTAAAGACATTATATAGAGCCAACCCAATTTTTCATTAGTGATTCTGTTAGCAAACTAAAATGATGATTAATTTTGAAATGGTTTTCTTTTGTCCAATTAAATGCTACTGCATGACTGTTTTTGCTTGGTAGTGTGATACCAGGATGGTATACCAAGTTTTGCTATTGTCACATTGCTGTTTTGTAACAAATCTATTTCACACTTTTGCTTTACTTTACTCTCAACTATATTTTTTCAAATATATGTATGGAGTTCTCTTAAACCTATGAATTTGGGTAAATCAAATTGAAATACATGCAGGTGACTTGAAATGTCTGGAATAGCTCTGTTTCTAATTCTCTGTGTGATGTGTGTCTGTTAATGTCATCTTCCTCATCCTACTTCAAGTGATAGAATATTGTCTTTGCAGGGTAAGAACAGTCTGCTGTTACAGGTAGTAATTTTAAAGATTATAATTTCTAGAGCGTAAGAAAGAAGAGGGCCATGGAAACAAACTGGCAAAACTAAAAAAATTGTGCTGCGTGTATTGCATACATATCTGAGAGCTTATCAGTCACTTCAAAGTTCCCCTGCATGTGTGTGCCTCATAGTAGGTGCAAGTTAGATT